TGCTATACTGCTATTATAGACTACTACTTATTGCCTTTTTAGTGCTTTGTTTACTTTGTTGATATTTTCACGTGCACATGTTGTTGTTGTTTTGTTTTGATGATCTGCAATACTAGGTCTCTGTAGAGTGCCCATTTTTTGTTTTTTGTTTTTGTTAATGCAGAAATTAGTTGCTTCCTTTTTGTAATATGTGCCTCTGCTTGTTTTCTCTAGCTTAAACTTGTTTAAAGTGTTGCTAGTTGTAGAGCTCCTGTCTTTTCTCTCTTTCTTGTATCTGGTGTTAACTTCTGTGACTTAGTTTTGCTATAAAAATTTTCCATTTTTTGTTTGTTTATAGAAAATGAGGATCAGCGAAAAGAGTTAGTGATGTTTTTTTAAAAAAAATAATAATAAATAAAAATTATATATTAAAAGATACAAATTTATATCTTAAAAAAAAAACAATTATACATCAATTTCTAACTATTCTGATTCAGTTAAATAATTTGTTTTTAAAAAATTATTTGATACAACAAGAATATCTGTTATATCTTTAATTTTTTTTAATTTTTTGATCATTAAAAAGATATTGTTTTGTATTTTGATAGAATTTACAAATACTAGATGTAAAATTTATATATAAGTAAGGTGAAAAAAGGCCAACTGATATATGTGATGAGAGGAGAAGAAATCAATTATGTATACAATATTGGGCAAAAATTGATAAGTAATGGTAATTTGGAAAACTGAAGCAAATAAACACATGCTGTGAAGTGGCATGTGAACCAATCATTTGCTCTATTAAGCCAAATTATCGTATTTGACAATTTGCCTAATATTGGTGTTATCTAGCAATTTATGATCATGATTGGTAGAGAGTTATTGGCTGAGATTTAATTTGAATAAACATGATTGCATTGTAACACATAAAAAAAATAACAAGACAAATGGCAATTCATGATCATAAGAGTTTGCCAGATAAATACTATTTTTTACCAAAAGGGTCTACTGATTCTGGTTGAGAAAATTGATTATGATCTTTTCTTATATAATAATAACTTCATCAATGTATTCTTGTATTTATCATCTTTTTTATTTTATTTTTGTTTGATTATGCTTATTATGAAATGTAATATATTTCTAATTTTAATTTACTTTTATATAGGTAACATTGAAAATGTGAATTTTATTATAAGTATTTAGTTAGTGAAACTTTATATAATAACAACTTTGATGAATTTATTATTAATTTCATTTTATTTGCATTAATTTAAAGTATATATAATTAATATAAGAGAAGCTTTTAAATATTTCTTCAATTAGATTTTTAATTCTATTTAAATTAAATTTAATTTATTTATGTAAATAAAACAGTTTTACAAATCACACCAGCAGTGCTAACATATCTCGAAAACTGACAAATTAACTAATGTACTAGTTGTTAATTCAAACTGTCAAAATATTAGGCCAAATTACAAACTGTGTTAGATAAATTCAAAGATCAGAGTAATGGAACCAAATTAAAATCTCCTGAATATTTTTTTTTATAATTTTAGTTGTGACAGTTTAATTAAAAGTGTTGCAAAAATATGCGTTCATGAATAAATGACATGGAGAAAAGAAGAATTCAGCTTATTGAGTTATTTTCATTCAAAAAAGGTAGAATTAAATAAAAAAAAAGTATCTCTTAAGTAAGAATGTGTTGGACAATAGCATGATTAAAGAAACAAAATATTGTTTGCTTTGCTTAAAAACTAACTATAATATACTAGTAAAATATTTATATAGTATTCATTATTTTAATTTTAAAGTTTTTATTTTTTATATAAATATTTATTAATATACAAAGGCAACTTTTGAATTTATAAGTTATTTTTTTTTAATAGTTTATAACAGTCAAGTCTTGCTTTGGGAATATAATTGGACAGTGATTGAAATTAGTTGCTTAAGCTATAGCAGATTATGGATATGCAATTCGAACAAATTTAGATAGCAATATCTCGTGAACTGTTGATCAAGATAATTTTAGAACGAAACAAGACGAATAGTGCCAAAATCACATCATTCTGATCACTAGATCATAAAATATTGTTGAACTACCCCAGTATCACAACCAAAAAAATCATGAACATGTGATATTTTCGTAGTGCAAAACTACCCTAGGATGAAAATCCTTAAAATATACTCGGGGTAGAGGTTATTATCCTGTGTTTTAATTTTAGTTTTTAGGGTTAGAGTTAGTTAGCACGTGATGATGATTTTCAATTTAATTTAATTATTTATATCTGGGGTAGAAGTTATTGCGTATACTTATTTGCCCTTGCAATACAAACCTTATATGAAGTTGATCATCGCTACTTAATCTGATTGGCTAGTTATTTAATACCATTAATTATATATAAAATAACAGTTTTGAAAAAACTGACAGTATCTTCAAAAATTTAAAATTTTATTGGATTTTGGCACCAAATTTGAAATAATGTGCAAACCTAGAATTATAAAGCAAAAGTATTCTTTTTCTAATTAATTTTAATTAGAGAATATACATTGATGTTTGTAATTTAATACATTAGAGAATTAATTAAATTTAAGATGAAGTAGATTTAATATACTGTATATTTAAACATATATAAATAGTTATATAATGGAATTTGAGCCAACAAATATAATTATTTAATAACAAACATCATAATAATATAACCTTTGAATACATATTATATTATATTGTTGTTAGTTCTGAAAAGTAAAGCTTATTTTTAACGAATAAAAATTTAAATTAATAGGCACAAGAATATTAATATTTCAGGTCTAAATCTATTAGAATTGAATTCAATAATGTAAAATGTTAAATAAATATTTTATTAAATTTGATAATGTTTGTGATTACAGACTCATAACCTTAAGAATGTAACTTGAAAAAGTATAATAAACATACTACCATATAAAGTTAACTAGTTGTTTCTCATAACCCAACCAGAACAACTTTGTAAATTACAATACAAAATTTTATAAATTTAATCTATATACTCCCAGGAGGGGCATTTGAAAAAATTCAAAGTTGGGCCTTTAAAATTTACACATTATAAGAAACAATTATTTGACTTTGTATGGCCTAATAATAAATAAATTCCCATTAAGCATTTGAGCAAAAATAATATTTCTCATTTAATCTAGATGCATCTTAACTAAATTAGATTAGTAAAGTGTAATGGCTAATGCAAAAACTTGATGAAGTAAAACCGATCAATAAATTAACTGATTGACTTCGAGTTAACCAATTTTTGTATATCAGTTTCAAATTTGATAAAATCTTATTAGCCGCTACATCAAAAATTAAGAAATAAGATGCATTAAAATAAAGAAAAAACATCGTATGATAAGCTCAGAATATTGTGAGTAATATTGTTAGTGGTTGTCTTAATCAAAAATAGAAATTGACAATAAAAAAACTCACAAATGCTATATCAAAAACTTATTATATATTACTTCTATCTGAAAGAATAAACAATTTAATATTAATGTATGAATTTGTAAATGCAAAATAAAAAATGTATTGTTATTATTTAAAACCTTATGTGATATAAAATCTAAACTAGATGCTAGTTTTTTTTTTTATCAAGTATATAAAAATCACAATTATCTAATAAAAATAACTTTAAACATAAAACTCAAAAGTAATTCCTTAAAGTATACTTACAAGAATAGATATACCAACCACTCAAATTTCTGAATATAATGTTGAAGATTGTATAAATAACCATGAAACAAATTTAGATGGATTACTTGATCATTTTAACCAATGTGTAGAATAACTTCACAATCCTATTATAAATACTAATTATCTTCCTATTGGTGCTATTTTAATTGAGTATAATGAAAATTCTTCTAGTAAAATGACAAAAGGTGTTGAATATATTGTTTCTACAAATACAGATTTTCATGAATGAGTAAATCAGTTTGGTAAAGCAACTGGTGCAACTTATGTTAAACATGATACTGAACAAAATATTGGAAATGTTATTTTGAGAGCTATTTATAGATGCCATTACTCAGAAAATTATAAAACTAAAGCAGGTCAAAATCATCCAGAAAAAAAACCAAGACCAAACCAAAAAGAAAGTAAAAAATGTGATTGCAAATCACAAATAATTGTTACTATTAAACATAGATTTAATGAACCAAAAATGTTTATAAAATACATTTTACATATCAATTATACTCTGGGTTCTGATAGTGATATTAGTACTTTAAGGCTCTCAAAGGAAGTCTGTAAGTGAATTGCAAAATGAATTCGGAATGGATTAAATGTCAAAAATATAATCTGACTCTTTAAGAAAAGATCTCATGATATAACAGAGATATGAAAAAAATGAAATCCAAATAATGCAATTCAAATTCATGATAATCTTGTAACACATGTTGATATATATAACATATGGAAAGAAGTATTTTTAGAAAGTCAAATGAAGCATAAATCTGAAGAACAGAACATGGAATTATGAAAAATTGAACTATAGCAAAAGGGCAATCTTACTTATATAGTTCTGTTATTAGAAGAAAATTATAAGTATAGTATAGGCAAGCTTTTTGGTTTTACAGTTCTTATACAAAAAAAAATTCTTCATGATGCTTTAATTATTCTATTTAATGCAACACATAAGACTAATAAACATAAAGACCTGTTATATATGCTGCTTTTACCTGATCCTAAAACTGAAAAAGGCATTACTCTTGCTCATCTCTTGTCTTTGTGTAAGAATTTTGAATCAGTTCAATATTGGCTTAATAAGCTTCGGGTTCAAATTTTGGATTGACAGGGTCTAGTTGCATTTATGATAGATTTTGATCCTGCCCAGATAAAAGCTATTTGTACTGTATTCTCAGAAAGTAAAATATTACTTTGCTGATAACACATCACAAGAGTGTAGAGAGATAATATTAAAAAAATTCATAAAGAAATAACTAATTCTATGGTGAATAAGCTTAACCCTAATGAAAAAAGTGTATTAGAAAATAAGTTATTTGCTGACTTAAGATATTTAATATATATCAATAACATAAATGTTGCTAAAGAAGTTTTGGTTTTATTTTTAGACAAATAAAAAAAAGTAACAACATTTATTACCTATTTTAAATACCAATAGTTAAATTAACCAGATAATAAAAGTAATTTTTATAATATAGATAAAACAATATGGATGAAGGCATATTGGACTGATATTCCAACTGCCAAAATTGATACTACAAATATGCTCGAGTCATGACATAAATGTTTGAAATATGACAATTTTGAAGGTAAGTGCAATTAGTGTAATGATATCTTAATATATGAGTTATATGTAATAATAAATGGAGATATACAGTATCAACAATGTCTGGTTGATATTTGAGCTAGACGAATGATGTCAGTAAAGAGAGAAATTTGTCAAAAAAAAGTAAAAACACAAATATTAATAGATACAGTTCTAGAAGTCAATAGAGGAAAACATCAAAAACAAAACAGAATATAAGATACTTTGTAGAAAAAACATCAGATCATAAACAATTAGAATGACAGTTCTTCTGTACTTGTGTAGATTTTAAAATGCAAAAGCTTCTTTGTAAACATATATATGCTATGGTTTTTCATTATTTTTCTCTGCTTCTTAAGAATGTTAAATCCTCTTACTATCAATCATAAGAATGTTAATAACATCAATATTCTGTCGAAGAGTTTCATTACAACATTCAAAAAATGATACAAGATCTTAAAGACCTTGATTTTAATTACTTACAAATTGTTCATGATCAGATCTTATGGATTCTTGAAGATGTTCACAAATCAGACAGATCATTTCAACCAAAAAATTGAGTAGACAAAAATCAAAAAATGAAATTACCACCACATATGTATATTGAAAAGCAAAAAAGGTAATTTTCGTATATTCTAAGTTATATCAAGTAAGTTTTTAAATTAGTTATATTGAATCAATAAAATATACATATAATTCATATCTATTTGATGCATACTAAAAAAAGGTTAAAATAATATGTGATAAATCATCAAAATGCACCTTTCTTAATTATAATAATAGTATTCTTCAATGTATAACTTCTTCCTTAATTAAAGTAGTAAAGTCTTTCAGTGCAATTAAAACATTAAAATATTAAAAAAAAAAAAAGTGTAAATTTGTATCTTTTTTATATTCAGTTTCTTAGCCCGTTTAAAAAATAAAATTTTAATATAACATAATAGTGAGTGCACTGATCTTAAACGTTAATCAAAGCTTCTATTTCAAAGCGTAAGTTTCAAGCACAAAAAATATTAAGATGCGATCCAATTAATTGATAAAGTGTTGATCAACTCCATATAAGGTTTGTGTTACAGGGGCAAATAAGTATACGCAAGGTTATTATCCTGTGTCTCAATTTTAGTTTTTTAGGGTTAGGGTTAGTTAGCACGTGATGACGATTTTAATTATTTATACCCGGATACATTTTAAGGACGCCCACAGGATCGCCAACAAAATTTTGCAGTCATGTGATATCGGCAAAAATTCTTTAAGTTAGGGTAGGGTCTACGTTTTAATAGGATTTTAGGAATCCTAATAGCAAAATCGCTCAAGTAAACTTTTTGTTAATGCGCAGACGGTGATTTCTTATGCAATTTATTGAGAAATAAGCGATTTTTGACAAAATGAACGTTTGTTTTGAACTTTCCTGATCGTGTTACGTTACACCAAATCGTGATTAACAGTTGGATAATTTGTCGCCGATCATCATGTGACTGCAAAATTTTGTTGGCGATCCTGGGCGGCGCGTCTACGGGCACGTACCAGGTTATGTGATTCGGTACGTACGAGATATCGCGTGATTAGTCGTATAACGAAGTGAGGAAAAGAAATTCATTTATAATAGTAAGGTATTATTAAAGCATTTGAATAAATTAAACCGCAAGAATAAATAAAGTACAGGCAAATTAAACTGAATGAATAAATAAGGTGCAAATGCTATAAATGAGTGTCGCTAAAAGAAAACCCGAAAATTTAAATATGACTTATATTTAAATTTTCGGAGTTTCTTTTAGCAACACTCAAATAACTGTTAAAATGCAGAAAAATTTCTTCAAAAACAAATTAAACCCACATTAATTATTAAATTGCGATTATTATGGCTAAAAGAACCTTTTTATTCAAAGATAAACCAATATCCGATGTACGCCCTTTTGAGG